GAGGATGAACCAGCAAGATTGGACCTTGTGTTCACCCTGGGCAGCTCAGATATTGAGGACATCAAGCATGAGAGTCCCCTAGGAGCTAGCGACCACGTGGTTCTGTGCTTTGAATACATAGTAGAGCTGCAAGTGGAGAGAATAACAGGAGTTGAATGGGAAAAGCCTGACTATAAAAGAGGGGACTACATAGGGTTGAAGAACTTCCTGCGGGAGGTCCAGTGGGACAGAGAACTGGCAGGAAAGCCAGTAAATGAAATGATGGAATATGTAACAACAAAATGCAAGGAGGCAGTGGAAAGGTTTATTCCCAAGGGCAACAGTAACAACGGGAAGATCAGAACGAGCCCCTGGTTTACCCGACGGTGTAAGGAGGCAAAAACAAAATGCAATAGAGAATGGAAAAAGTACAGAAGGCAGAGAATACACGAAAATAGGGAGATCAGTCGCAGAGCCAGGAATGAGTACGCACAGGTAAGGAGGGAGGCCCAGCGACAGTATGAAAATGACATAGCATCGAGAATCAAGACTGACCCGAAACTGTTGTATAGCCACATCAGGAGGAAGACAACAGTCAAAGACCAGGTGATCAGATTAAGGACAGAAGGTGGAGAACTCACAAGAAATGATCAGGAGGTATGTGAGGAGCTGAACAGGAGATTTAAGGAAGTTTTTACAGTAGAGACAGGAAGGGCTGTGGGAAGACAGCACAGAAGGGAACATCAAGAGGGAATATACCAACAAGTGTTGGATGACATACGAACAACTGAGGAGGAGGTGAAGAAGCTCTTAAGTGACCTTGACACCTCAAAGGCGATGGGACCGGACAACATCTCCCCATGGGTTCTTAGAGAAGGAGCAGAGATGTGTGCGTGCCTCTAACCACAATCTTCAACACATCCCTTGAAACTGGGCAACTACCTGAGATATGGAAGACAGCTAATGTAGTCCCCATATTTAAGAAAGGAAACAGAAACGAGGCACTAAACTACAGACCTGTGTCTCTGACATGTATTGTGTGCAAAGTCATGGAGAAGATTATCAGGAGGAGAGTGGTCGAACACCTGGAAAGGAACAAGATTATAAATGAAAACCAGCATGGGTTCATGGAAGGCAAATCTTGTATCACAAACCTCCTGGAGTTTTATGACAAGGTAACAGAAGTAAGACACGAGAGAGAGGGGTGGGTAGATTACGTTTTCCTAGACTGCAGGAAGGCCTTTGACACAGTTCCCCACAAAAGATTAGTGCAGAAGCTGGAGGATCAGGCGCACGTAAAAGGGAGGGCACTGCAATGGATAAGGGAATACCTGACAGGGAGGCAGCAACGAGTCATGGTACGTGAAGAGGTATCACAGTGGGCGCCTGTTACGAGCGGGGTCCCACAGGGGTCAGTTCTAGGACCAGTGCTATTTTTGATATATGTGAACGACATGATGGAAGGAATAGACTCTGAAGTGTCCCTGTTCGCAGATGACGTGAAGTTGATGAGAAGAATTAAATCGGACGAGGATGAGGCAGGACTGCAAAGAGACCTGGACAGGCTGGACATGTGGTCCAGCAACTGGCTTCTCGAATTCAATCCAGCCAAATGCAAAGTCATGAAGATTGGGGAGGGGCAAAGAAGACCGCAGACAGAGTATAGGCTAGGTGGACAAAGACTACAGACCTCACTCAGGGAGAAAGACCTTGGGGTGACCATAACACCGAGCACATCACCGGAGGCACACATCAACCAAATAACCGCTGCAGCATACGGGCGCCTGGCAAACCTGAGAATAGCGTTCCGATTTCCTTAATAAGGAATCGTTCAAGACACTGTACACTGTGTATGTTAGGCCCATACTGGAGTATGCAGCACCAGTCTTGAACCCACACCTGGTCAAGCACGTCAAGAAGTTAGAGAAAGTACAAAGGTTTGCAACAAGGCTAGTCCCAGAGCTCAAGGGAATGTCGTACGAGGAAAGGTTAAGGGAAATCGGACTGACGACACTGGAGGACAGAAGGGTCAGGGGAGACATGATAACGACATACAAGATACTGCGGGGAATAGACAAGGTGGACAGAGACAGGATGTTCCAGAGAGGGGACACAGGGACAAGGGGTCACAACTGGAAGCTGAAGACTCAGACGAGTCACATGGAGGTTAGGAAGTATTTCTTCAGTCATAGAGTTGTCAGCAAGTGGAATAGCGTAGCAAGTGAAGTAGTGGAGGCAGGAACCATACATAATTTTAAGAAGAGGTATGACAAAGCTCAGGAAGCAGAGAGAGAGAGGATCCAGTAGCGATCAGTGAAGAGGCGGGTCCAGGAGCTGAGTCTCGACCCCTGCAACCACAATTAGGTGAGTACAATTAGGTGAGTACACACACAAACACACACACACACGCGCATGCACGCGCACGCATGCGCACATGCACACACACATGCACACACACACACACACACACACATACACACACACACACGCGCATGCACGCGCACGCATGCGCACATGCACACACACATGCACACACACACACACACACACATACACACACACATACACACACACACACACACACACATACACACACACATACACACACACACACACACACACACACACACACACACATACACACACACACACACACACACATACACATACACATACACACACACACACACACACACACACACACATACACACACATACACACACATACACACACATACACATACACACACACACACACACACACACACACACACACACACATACACACACATACACATACACACACACACACACACAACCACATACACACACACACACACACACACACACATACCACACACAACACACAACACACACACACACACACACACACACACACACACACAACAAAACAACAACACACACACACACACACACACACACACACACACACACAAGAAAAAATCCTTCTAGGTACTTTGCGAATCTCTTTATAAAAAATAAGATTCATGGACTTTTTAATTAAAAACTAATTGCAACATTAATGTGAAAACTCTACATCGATCACAGAACAAATTATTGAAATAATTTTCTCTAAAATTCTATATATATGTCAGGGGACCCGTGTCAGGGGACCCGTGTCAGGGGACCCGTGTCAGGGGACCCGTGTCAGGGGACCCGTGTCAGGGGACCCGTGTCAGGGGACCCGTGTCAGGGGACCCGTGTCAGGGGACCCGCGTCAGGGGACCCGCGTCAGAAGACACGAGTCAGTAGACCAGCGTCAGGAGACATGTGTTCTGTCTCCTGACGAAAATAAAGCAATTTTTCAGAATTTCTCAGAATTCATAAATTTTAATTCCCAACAGAAATGCAATCGTTTGATTTTGGAGAGAGAGAGAAAGAGAGAGAAAGAAAGAGACAAAAGAGAGAGAGAGAGAGAGAGAGAGAGAGAGAGAATAAAAAAGAACAATTGCTTATTTCTAATTGTTTATTTCTGTTTAAAACAGTTTAACTACTCTCGTGGTATAGCAACTTAACTCTTTATTACGTCAATTTAATGAACTGAAATGTTTGTTACAGAGAAAATCACCTCCTGGCGCTTATTCTAATTTTGTGTTGCCATGCAGCAGAGAGCAGTAACATCCGCCAGTGTTATAGCGCTGCAGCAGAGAGCAGTAACATCCGCCAGTATTATAGCGCTGCAGCAGAGGGCAGTGTTGTACACCAGTATTATAGCACTGCAGCAGAGAGCAGTATTGTCCACCAGTGTCAAGTTTGGCAACAAGAGCAGCAATGTCTGCCAGTATTTGGTCAAAGCTGGAACTCGAGTAATGAAGCCATAACCCAGCTAGCTTGTTTTGCACCTAGATCACGGTTCATTGCCGTTTAGACACAGCTGTGAGCCTTTTGTTATGTACAACAATACTGCCCTTATAGTTGTGAGTCTTTCACTGTGCACAAGAATGCTGCCCGGGGGATCCTGGAAGAGGGGTCACACACACTAACAGTCAACAGACGTAACTACCGTACATACATTAACCGAACACATAATTGAAACCCCCGCTCGCTGGCACTCATATAACATCACCAGTGGCCGAATCATTTTGGTGGAACTGAAGGGGAATGGGGGCCGTAACGAAGCTCTGCCATGTAGAGGGAGTCAGTGAATAGCCAATTTGCAAAGCCGCCTCTCCATCCCTCTGGCGGCTCTCTATGTTGTGGGAAATCAATATCCTGGACGTGTATGTTCAGCCGTCTAGGCTGCTGTCACTTGCAAAACTGGCCTAGCAAACATTCCGGTGTGTTTGTCATCATGATCATCCCGGAACACGGAAATTTATTTAATTATACTCAACACAGAGATGAAAACGTCAGGTTGAAGGGAGCGTTGTAGAGTATAAGAGTCCATGGCAGTCACAAGACAGGAGACTATGAGAACACCGAGACAATAGGTGAGAGAAGACAACACATTACCATAATTGCTGCTCACGATCAGCTTAGAGTCGGTAAGAGACTGGGTTAGGTAGTGGTCAACCCCTTTAATACAAGAGTAATTACCCGGGCGCTATAGCCACATTCTATAGCATGGATCAGTGGTCAGTACACATATACTGATGTGTGTGTATGTGATGTCTGTGACTTATTGGTGATGAATGCATTGTGATGGTGATGATCGTCTCGTGACGATCGCCTAGTTGATCAGGCCCTGATCCATCGGGAGGCCTGGTCATGGACCGGGCCGCGGGGGCGTTGATCCCCGGAATAACCTCCAGGTAACCAGGTTATGTATGTGTCGCGGATGTGATGGATATGTCGTGGTGGTGAAGGATGTGTCGTGTTGGTGAAGGATTACTAGGCATAATACGAACATTTTTAGACATTATTACCAGACATGGTATCCACGTTACTGGACACGGTATCCACATTACCAGCCTCTATATTCATGTTACTAGGCAAAGTATCAGCCCTTGAGCCTAGTCTCATGACGTACATGTAACCAGGCTACTAACTCGGGTACTCACCCTGGCATCAGGACCATTAGCTTCGAGGTTCTTGGTGCTGATGACGAGTTGCTCTCGCTGGAGGACCAGGGAGTCCGAAGTCAGGATCAGCTTCATGGGTTGAGGCTTCGACTTGCCATCACTCACGCTCACCAGACCAGCGTGCATCTGCAGACACAATGATACCAGTTAGTACTCTCTTTAGCATAATATAACGCACACTATTTTTACAAACCTCACTTAAAACATTCTTCCGTGCACATTTAAATACACACTTTTGTGTGTATATATAAGTACAAGTGAAGAATAAAAGTAACAGTTGACAACAAACCCACAACATTTAAAATCGAGCTGGACTTCCCTTCGGTCTCTTAATAGTGACATAAAATTGTTATAATCATAACCATACACTTGAAAGGGGTGGAACGGTAAGCCAGCGAAAGGCCTCGGCCTGATGACCAAAAGCTCCAGCTGTGGGTCGTCATATAACTAAGACCCGCGTCAGGAAACACTTGTCCTGTTTCCTGACAAACCTTATACCTACCTACCTACCTTCGGTTTCTCCTGGGTGAGGGGTAACACACAAGGCTCACAACGCCACACATATGAATGTAAATGGATTGATGACATTTCCCCCACACAGTGAGTTTTATTGACTAAGTTTGGCCCACACAGTAGCCTTTATTGACGAAGTTTCTCCGACATCGTGGGCTTTGTTGAAACATATCGCCTTACAATAGGTTTTATTAACGACATTTCGAGCACTCGGTTCCGACTAACTGCATTTGTGTATCTTCTATCATGTTAAAGAGGAACAGAAATCTTAACACCAAGTTGTTTTTTGAGTAATGTGAGAGGTGGAGGACCTTAGCACAAGTCTCACTGACCAATTACAGTGTGTCTGGCATCCACAGTTGGAATTTTCCACTTGTTTCGTGATGAATTAAAGAAACTGGCCAAGGCGAAGGTTTTTGAGAAAGGTTTGTTTTGAAAGTAAATTAGAAGGCAGTCGTGTGTAGCGAGACTCGTGAAGAATATGTGCATAATAAAATGGCGTGTTAATGTGACGGATTTGTATATGACATAACAGACGTTACTGTGTGATTACGTAATGGATTCGTATATACCGAAATAAACGTGCTTGTGATAGTTTTTAGAGTTCGTGGAAGGCGCTTGTGTCCCCGAGTGAGTTAAATATATTATATAACAAATTATGAGATTGAAGACTATAAACCATGAACATTCCTCGCCTCATGTGAACACAAACAGTTCAACAATGTCAAAAAGTTTTTGCAATATTGGCCCTCTACTCCCTTTCCCTCCTTCCTCCTCAACAGTTTCTTCTCTACCTCCACCACATATCTTCCCTTCCGACTCAGCCTTGAGTCGATGTAATCAGTCCATCAATCTTTTGAAGACTGATGGACTGATTACATCGACTCAAGGTTGAGGGACTGATCACCTCAAACTCCTCCTGTTCTTCATCATTCTCCTTTGTATGGACTGATGAAGCCACTGTGTGGCGAAACGTGTCCTCAATAAAGATACCCAAATGTTGCATATGTCTCTAATTTATCAACTTGTCAGTTCTCTGAACTACTTATTCACACATCTTCCCCTAACCTACAAGACCGTCACTTTCCTCCCTTCCCCTTCTATACCACCATCCCTGCCTCTCCCTAATCCTCTATGTCCTCCCTACCCTCCCTCCCTCCCTACCTTACCACACCCTCCTCCCTCATTTCCTATCCAGATTTACTTTGTTTCCCCACACTCATTTTTTACTGTTCACTTATACATTTTTGTTGGCCAGCTGTGGATATCTTAAAAAAAAAAGTTCTCCTGTGTATGAAATAAGCCATCTTGAGAACCGGTAATGCTCAAGTAATAGTAATTCCAGCTCTGTTACAACGAAACTTTTGACACTCCTGTAGCTGAAAAATAATGAAATATTTGAATACTAGAATATTGGAACATTTGGTATTCTTAGTAACCTACTGACGCCTTCCAGCTGAGGCTGACGATTTCAGCTACGTATGTATCTAGCCCATCTAGGGGTATGGGAGAGGTCCCGGGTTCATCTCCCGAACAGGCCCCCAGATTACGAACACAGGTAATGAATAGCCTATGACCTGGTCGGTAATGGGTTTTGGAGCAAAAGATACTCAGCACCAGTATATAACATGTATTTCCTTCACCAGATATAATTTGCCAGATATATACAAGTACGTACACTTATGTACACTATGAACAGAAAATGAATAGCAAGCGTACCACACGACGGTGACAGAATGGCAAAAAGCAAAAGCCAGAGAGAGAGAAAGAGAGAGAGAGAGAGAGAGCACCATACTCAACCAGCAGGTAGGCAAGTCTGGCAAATGCTGACCGCTAGTGAAACCACAATGCCTCAGTATTTGGCGGGCTCGCTTGCGATTGGACAATGAACCAAGGTACTGATTTAACGACGGGTACCTTAATAATCGTTAAACCCTTAGCACCCGGTTCGCTGCTTGGAAGGCAGCCTATGTGAGAGTGTGATATACACAGAATAAATTGTAACATACTCTTTGCATGCCACACTGCATGATACGGTAGGGAAAAATAATTAGTTTTTGTTCCCGCTATGAGGCTCGTGTAGAAACGAGTAACAGCACGCTGTTGATGTATGCAATGTTACTTAACTAAAATAAAAAAGCTCCCTTCCCTCTACCTCCCCTCCCATTATTTCCATCTTTTTGGTCTCCAGGACAAAAATCTCTCCCACCATTATCTTAAGTGGTAACGAAAGTGGCAAACGGCAGACGGCGCTCTTACGAACGGAGTGAGCACAAAATCTTTCATTAATACGGCTTTTAGCGTGGGCGCGAGTGTGGCACGGGCCACGAGGCTCCCACGTCCACCAACGGTAGGTGATGGAAGCAACGCTGGGAGACAAGCACGGAGAATGAGAGAGGAAGAAAAAGGTAGAGAGAAGAGAAGAAAGCAAAGGGAGATTGAGGAAGAACAAGTGAGGAGGGAGGGAGCAAGAAAATGGGTAGTAAGAGGGAGGGGAGGATGAGAGGGATGAAGCAGGGAGAATCGACTCAACAGGTGATGAAAACAGAAGGTATAGTAATACTGATAATGAGGATGAAAGGAAACAGGCGCATACACTTAGGTCATCTTTACTGGTTACATCTCGATCCACAGATTTGTCACACACAGGTGAACAAAGTTTTTTTCAGAATTCTTGAGATCTTCCCGTTGTTTGAGCGGTATGGTGGATCAGAGGATGTTATTGGCTTCCAGATAATGTTAGAACGTCTGCAGCAGGCCAGAACTCGACCCTACGAACCTTATACCGCCTTCAGAGACAGCACAATGTCGCATCGCCTTACCACTTGAGCCAGCGATCCTACAAGAATCGCGCATGCAGCTGAGCTACATGTTTTTCTCGTGATCCGAGGACACTCGTGGCAGTGGTATCTCGAGGATTAATTTCAGTCTCCTCCTGTTTGAATACCCACCTCAACAAGCAGTCTATATAACAATGAAATCACGAAACAAGTGATTTTAAATCATTTACCAAACTGCGGCAGGCCAGGACTCAACCCTACGAACCTTATACCGCCTCCATAGGTATAAGGTATCAAGATACCACTGCCACGAGTGTCATCAGATCACGAGAAAAACATATAGCTCAGCTGCATGCGTGATTCTTGTAGGATCGCTGGCTCAAGTGGTAAGGCGATGCGTACATTGTGCTGTCTCTGGAGGCTGTATAAGTTTCGTAGGGTCGAGTTCTGGCCTGCCGCAGTTTGGTAAATGATGTATATATATATATATATAATATATATATTATATAATATATATAATATATATTTTATATATATATATATATATATTATTATATATATATATATTTATATATATAATTTTGAAGATAAATCTCTAGATGACGCCTCGGTTCCTCGAGGACCATCAAGTCTCGAGATAGAAGGAATGAGAAGTGAGGAGACAGTAAGAGAGGGTCGGGCAGAGTAGTGTGGGCGAGTGACCATGACAATCCCATTCATATGCAGATATTCAGAGTGTTGTTTGTTAAGGTAACACTCCCAGAATAGTTCTAAAATAACAAGAGTGGCTGAGGTGACAGTATAGTGCAAGTACAACTCTTGCCACTTTCCAGAATTGAACTCAAAACTAAGGCAGAGGTGAGGCTATTATGATGTGGGGGGGGGGTCCCCAGGAGGGAGGCAAGGCGAGGCCATTATAATGAGGAGGGGGAGCACCTCCATGAGAGAGGTGTTGATAATGTCACCCAGTGATTGGCTACCAACATGTTGACATCGGCATATGTTTTGACGTCAGAGGCAAGAGTAAATTTGTCCCTCCAGTTAACCTGACTTGTTTACATCACTGTTATACCTTGTTGACATCACTGATATCCCTTGTTGACACCACTGATATCCCTTATTAACATCACTGATATGCCTTGTTGATATCACTGATATACCTTGTTGACATCACTGATATACCTTGTTGACATCACTGATATACCTTGTTGGCATCAATGACGTACCTTGATGACACAGTTATCTGTTTAATTATTACCTAATTCAGGACTTCTTATTAATACTTAAGACCATAATAACATAAAAAGGAAAGAGCGCTGCAGAAGGCCTACTGGCCCATCCTAGGCAGATGAAACTCACACCTACCCACACCCGCTCTGGTACTTATCTAACCTATTTTTAAAGCTACACAAGGTTTTAGCTTCAATAACAATACTCGGGAGTTTGTTCCATTTATCAACAACTCTGTTACCAAACCAATGCTTTCCTATATAAGAGGAGGAGCAATGCAACAGGCTAAATAATTTTAACACATTTCTGATTCCTGGGATCAATTCTGTCAAACTTTATGATGAATATGGTATATAATATGGTATATAATATGGTATATAATATGGTATATAATATGGTATATAATACAGACAAGTTGAAATGTAAGACACACGTGCAGCAGTTGGGTATCTTTACTGTTTACTGAAATGTTTCGCCTACGCAGTGGGTTTCTTCAGTCAAGTATAGAGGAGATATAATAATAGCTTAGGTATGTTAACACTAGATGTATTTATGATAGATATTTTCACGAATTCTCTGGACTGTTTTAAATGTCATGTT